CACACTTGCTACATCCCCTAGGTGGCGGAACCAACCTCGCCACTGGCCACTGGAGGAGCTTGGTCGCCCGCCTCCTGCCACTGGACTATGTTTAACATGAACCAACCTTTCTGCGGACTGTTAAAGCCATGCTACCCCAGATAGCTATGCCATGGAGCCCAGCCGTATACTGAAAGACTGTATGAAAGACTTTGGCTCCATGGCGATTGAACTGTATGTATCTGATCTGAGCGCCATCCGGTAATAATGTGCGCTCAGATCTAAGCTATCTGGGGATAGGTAGAATGTGTATGTTCTATGTGATAAATGTAACAGTATGTATTTTTATGTCTTTTATTGTCCTTTGTCTGCCATGTGGTTAATGGAGTTTTGCCTCTGTCCTTGGAGATAATTGGATTACTTCCCAATTATTTCCAGGACAGAGAGGAGGGATTGTGATGCATTGTGGGATTGTAAGCTTGTGATTGGTCAATGTCCAACATGTTTCCCAGTCTTCCATCTGGTCCCCTAGGGCAGTGTCCACCAGGTGGAAGACCTGCATTAAAAGCCGGGCAGGTAGCCCCAGTAAATCAGTTCTGCTTGACCCTCAAACGAAGTGACGTCTCGTTCTTGGGGGGAATTGGATTGTATGCTGTTACAGTGCGACTGCCAGGAGTGTAAACTGTTCGTATGGTTTTTCCTATTCAGCTGTTTACAGCATTCGTGTGTTTCCGGTTCGGGAGTTTGGAGCATTCCCCTGGTTCCAGTTCGGGAGATTGGTGAATTCATGTGTTTGCAGTTCGGGAGATTGGTGAATTCATGTGTTTGCAGTTCGGGAGATTGGTGATTGCAGTAGCTGTCTGTGCATCTGAAAAGGGGAATATCGCCTAAACGGTTTTTAACCTCTTGTGTGCAAAACAGTCCGTTACACCCTATAACACTATGCCCCCTACACACACTCTCTCTACAGCCCCTAGCCACACATATTACACCACAAACACAAATTAAATTGAGCTATTTACACAATACCACACCACACTCTACACACACGCAATCCCACAAGCAGGCTCCAAACACATGCACAATACACTTTCCTGGCCCTTTTGTCCTCTGGTATCCCACTTGTGGAGACATCAGAGACAATTTAAAAGCAAACACAGCGCAAGCATGTTATTAAATTTGCTTGCGCTGCGCAGAACAAACTCAGGGCCTTTTTCTAATGCCAGAGCTCTTCAGCGGGGCTCTGCATTGAACCAACATGCTCACTTTGAGAGGGGGCGTGCTTGTCATTAGTGATGACAAAACACACCCTCTCAAGCCCCGCCCCCTTCTTCTTAGGGGGCTGTTCTGATTGAAAAATGCCCGGCCCCAATTCTTTTTTCCCAGTCCGGCCCTGCGTGAGCCACTCTCACATCTGAGAATGAGTTATAGTAGTAATGACTTGTAATTAACACCACTATGATACAGCCTACTATGGCTGTCAATCAGGCAGTACTGAACATTTACTTAATTCCATGCTGCCAGTGTCATATTGTGTGGGAGGTGTAAGCACCAAACACGGAATAAAGAAGGCTCTCTTCTTCCAGGAGAGACGATTGAATACCAGTGAAATTTGAAACACCAAGTGACATTTTAAAAGGTAATATTTTTTAATTTTTTTTTATTTCAATTTTGAAATATTTCTGGCAAAAAATTTAATGCACAATCTCTAGATAATATATTAGCAATATACTGTACATTTTTAAGTAGCCAATCCTCTTAAAAAAAAACAAGACCAATAATAATTTTTTATTTTTAAGTTTTATTCATATTTTTTTTTTATTCTTTATATTTGTTTTCAAACCACTGTCATGACACATCATACAATACAACATTTGAAAGCAAGGTTACACATGGATATCAGGCATAGTATTACAAGCTAAACATTGCACCGTAGATTGAGGGTTTTAAGAAGTAATGTGTAGATTAAACGCTTGGGGGCTAGATACATTCTGGCTAATATGTGTGTTACCGGTCACCTTGGTGTCAATCTTGTGCACGATAAATTTAACCTACAGTGAGTGATAGCATGTATGGCTCGGTCACATCATTTTTACCCCGGTTTTTCTGAGAGGCCAGGGGATATTAGTTGGTTAGTTGAGCCATTCGAGCTGAGAGTGGTAGTTTTGAATCTGTGATACCTTTCAATTAACTAAGGATAAACTTAAGAAAATAAAAGTAAGCAACATTAAAGCATCATTAAAGTAGAGCCACATCTACATAGAGTATGATCTCCCTGCGAGGTGAGTCAAGTGGTGTTGACTGCAGAAAAGTCTGAAGTGGACTGTTGAGGAATGAAAGGTTTTGCCGTCGCCGGGTGCCCGGGCAGCTATGGCTTTAATTTTTATTTTTTTTCAACCCATGTTAATGCCTGTGCTTCAGGTAAGTCCCTTGGGTCTACCAGTGGTACCTCTGGTCTCCATAGAGGGTGGAAAGAGAGCAAAATGCCCAGAGTTCACATGCGATGCGTCCCCCTTGATTGTTTTTTTTGTTTGTTTGTCTTTTTATAATCATAATAATGATATTAATAATAAATTCTATTTTACTCTCGCACTTTCATTTCTTTTTCTCCTTTTGTCTGGACTCAATGTAGATAACATTTTTGAAATTTAGGTGAATGGGAGAAGTTGTATGTTCTGTATATTCTCCTGAAAGACAATTAATAGAAATAAATGAGTGAATGTCATTCCTAACTATGTATTACATAGCACATATAATAGCTATGCATGACCTTTTAAATCATGGTCTACTAGACTCCCTAATGTTAAGTCACCAGAACTTTACTATCATTAAAAAGTTTAATAACTGACATTACATACAGTATATACTCGAGTATAAGTCTAGTTTTTCAGCACATTTTTTGTGCTTAAAAACCCCCACTCGACTTATACTCGAGTCACTGTCTGACTCTGATTATGGCAACTTAGAGAGCCGCGGCCGTCAGAGCCATGGCAACGATCCGCGCGGCAACCAGAACGCGAGACTTACAGTGGAGCTGACCAGAACGGAGGAGAAGGGAGGTGACAGGAGCTGCAGGAAAGGTAAGTAAATGCTTTCTGCTGGCCCCCCCACTTCACAGACCATGCCACTGGACCTCCAGGGATTAAGATAGCCCCCATCCCTGACCAGTTAACAAGCAGGGAGGGGGGACAAAAAAAAATTAAAATAATAAAAAAATAATAATATTAAAATAAAAAAAATTAAAATAATTAAAAAAAAATAATATTAAAATAAAAAAATTAAAATAATAAAAATGCCCTCCCCCCACCCAGTTCACACACACTACACAAACACACACTCTGCATTATATACACACTCTGCATTATGAGTGTGTGTGTATATAATGCAGAGTGTGTGTTTGTATGAGTGTGTGTGTGTGTATATAATGCAGAGTGTGTGTTTGTATGAGTGTGTGTATATATAATAGAGAGTGTGTGTTTGTATGAGTGTGTGTGTATATAATTATAAAAATCACAGAATTTCATAGCCCCAAGTTTTACCCTCGACTTATCCACGAGGCATAGCATTTTTCACAATTGTTGGTCACAAAACTGCACTCGACTTATACATGAGATCGACTTATACACGAGTATATATGGTACTATTTATCATTACATATTGTACAAATAATCAATATAATAAATGAGAATAAAATAAGAAGTGGAAAAAGATGCCACAGGCACTAAGCACTGTGGCATATATGTTGGGTGGCAATAGAGGGTTAATGAAGTCCAGTCAAGGTTAAAAGAAGTTGAGATAAAGTTCATGATCCCAAGATCAGTGATTGGGCAGTTTTAGTGACACAGCTGTTGCTGGGGACAGGAGCTGACTGAGGATTGGCTGCTGGCAGCAAGCCAGCAAAAGAGCAGGAAGCCAGGTAAGAATAAACGGAGGTGAGTAAGGGATTCACTGCCAGCTGTTCGTGACAGGACGGGAGAAGCTCTACGGACCCCGCCCATCCTTCCCTATTTGTTAAAGGTGTAAAAAAATAATAATAATTATATCGTGGTGTTTTAGAAGCTTGGGGGCAAAGTCATCCTCAGGTGCAGCGACTAAGGAAGAAAGAAGGCGGCTGGTGAGAACAGGTTGTATCCGGATCTGCGCATGCACTGTGCAGATTGTTCGGCCACCGGAGCCTCCGTGCGCTCAAACCATCAGATGTGTGTTCTACCTACTGTATGTATTTGCCTAGTATTTTTTAGAGTGGTATAAGGGGTTTCCACTCAGGAGGTTTATAGCAGCTATTGCTAACACACACATCCACATTCTGTGTATTTTATTTCTTCACGATTGTATAATGTACCCACTCCCACTTTGTGCTCCGGCTCTCTCAACTTATCAATAAAATTCAAGGTTGGGCAAACTATCACTTGATAAAGCAAAAGTTTAGTTTTTGTATTCCCAGTACAACTGCTGAAAGGGTAGATATAGATGCTGGAAAGAATCTCCATACTAGACAAAACCATGAACCGCTATTAATATTAGAAAGCTAAATTTTCTAATTTATTGAAGCAACGTTAATAACACCTTATTTTCATACATTTTGCATGGCAATATTGAATGCTCTTTCTATGCCTTATGTCTCCTGAGAAGGTCCTGCTTGGCTCATCCAGTTCAGATTTTCCTTTTTTTTAGGAGTGGATTCTGACTCACTCTGGTTCTCTTCTCTTCCTTTTACTGCTGATGGTACACCGAGGATTGCTGTCTCCTGTTAAAGGGCAGAAGAGGATGAGTTTTTCTGCAAACCATCCACATTAAAAAACTTGTCAATTTCAGATTTGTCATTTGTCATTATTGGACACTATTCTGATAACCCATCAAGAAAAGATCTCATTGTCAAGTTTTAAAACATTTTTAGGTATTCATAAAATGTATTGAGTCAATGCTCATTACACCTGATTTTCATACCTTTTGTGTGGCAATATTGAATGTTGTTCCCACGCCTGATGTCTACTGAGAAGGTCTTGCTCAGCCCAGTGAGTTTAGATTTTCCGAATCTTTTTTTGAGTGAATTCTGACTCACTCTGGTCCTCTTTCTGTGTCCTCTTCCTTTTACTGGCTCTCACTGCATCTGGGATAATTTTCTCCTGTTCCAGGGAAAAGGGGGATAAGTTTTACTGTAAACCGTCCACAATAAAACCCAGAAATCGTCAATGTCAGATTGGTCATTTGGGTCTTTATTGAACAATATCCTGATTACACATTGGGACAAACGCCTAAGATTTCTGGTCAAGTTTTAAAATAAATGTAGTTATTCATATTAGAAAGCCCAGGATTCAAATGTATTGAGTCTATGCCAATAACACCTGAGTACCTTTTGTGTGACACTATTGGATGTTGTTCCTACGCCAGATGTCTCCTGAGAAGGTCCTGGTGTTGGATCATCCTGTTCAGCTTCTCTTTTCTTTTTTGGAATTAATTCTGACTCACTCTGGTCCTCTTTCTGCTTTCTGCTTTCTGTTCCTTTTTGCCTCTCACTGCACCTCTTTTTGCCTCTCACTACACCTGGAATTGTTGTCTCCTGTTACAGGGTAGAAGGGGATGATTTATATTGCAAACCGTCCACAATAAAAAACAAAAAAACACCAATTTCAGATTGGACATTTGGGTCTTTATTGGACACTATCTTGATTACACATCAGGACAAACATCCAATATTTCAGGGTTGAGTTTTAAAATAAATTTAGTTATTAATATTAGAGAGCCCAGGATTCAAATTTATTGTCAATTTTAATTAGCAGCTTATTTTCGTACCTTTTGCGTTACAATATCGGATGCTGTTCCTATTCCAGATGTCTCCTGACAAGGTCCTGGTGTTGACTTGGCCAGTTCAGATTCTCTTTTCTTTTTTGGAGTGAATTCTGACTCACTCTGGCTCTCTCTTTTCCTTTTTTTTGCTCTCACTGCAGATGATCCTGGAGTTGTTGCCTCCAGTTGCAGGGGAGAAGGTGCAGGTCCAGCGAATGATCCTTCTTCTGTTGATGGTTTTGTGGATTGGGCTGCAGAAGACTTGGCTAAATTGATCCATTTGGGGTTGATGTAACTGAACCCATCAAATAGCCTTTGATCTTCTGAATCAAGAGATTTCTCTGAAGAGTCTTTGGATGATAATTTGAGCTCAATGCTCCCAGATTCTTCTAAACTCTCTGATGATGTCTAGATGGAAAATATATAAACAATGGTGTTCGGATATGTTAGATAAATATCTTGCTATGCCCCCACTAACGTTAACTCAACACAATTGGGAAGCTCAGAGTACCACCATTCAAGTAGATATGTTACTGAGTGAGGTCTTTTCACAAAATGTGGGGCCCAGAAGTGACATATCAGTCTTAAAGGTTCCGATCTGTATTCATGCACTTACTGTGCGGAGAATAGAAGGGGGGATAGTTCTTCTGGCCTCTAGTTCCTTCCAATCAATTGACTGGAAAAAGGGATGGTCTCGAATATTGCCATTTTTTCCCAGGCGGTCAGATGGTATCTTGCACAGAAGCTGTAATGACAACAAAATACAGTAAAATCACTTCTGCCCTTACACATATACAACACATACATAATTTACATATAAGCAGTTAAAGTTCTAAATCACTGAAAATAAGTAGTATTTTTAGATGAATTATACATTCAATAGCACTTTGATAACATTTTAGATTATTATTCTTGTTTCTGTTACCCAAAATCACTTGATTTGTTTTTGATGCACTTTATTAAATAAAGTTTGAGATAATATCATTAGGCTTTTAAGATATAATAAATTGATTAATTCATATCTTCTTTTTTCATGGTATTATCCTATAACGTACAATCAAACCTACCCGTTCTAAGATATCGCGTTCCTCAAGGCTGACATCTGCTGGTGTGTCTTCATCTGCATGGCCGCATTGAAAGACATTATACCCTGTAATCATCTTGTATAAGATGACTCCAAAGGACCACCAGTCAGCCCCTGCATCGTACCTTTGTAACCTCAGCATCTGTCAGAAAATATAGAGAGAAGAATAATTGACAAACTAGAAAAGCTACAATTTCTGGGGAAATTCTGTGAAGTGTTCTTGCCTCCACCATTAGTCTACAACTAGGGATTGAGCAATTATCGGTTTTACCGATATTATCGTCCGATATTTGGTATTTTCGGCAATATCGGTATCGGCCACTAAAGATACCGATATTGCCGAAATTGATAGAGTGAGAAATGCATTTCAACATTTATTTATTTATATAGCACATTTAATTGCAACGTTGTTGCCCAATGTGCTTCACAGTTACATTAAAACATACATTGATAAAAACATTAGCAGGTGTACAAAAGGCCCTGTCTATGACATCACTTGCTGCTCCAGCCTGGCACAGGTCAGAGTATTTGGCGGTTGCCATCTTCAAACGGTCGTATTTTACAAACTATACATCCTACAGCGAAGAGCTGTATATTATATTGTGAGAATCACAAGACCCAGACCTACATTTTGATGCATAGTATGTCTCTGAAGTATTAAAAATGAAGGCACAGTCGCAGTTTAGGATTAGCACACCAATCGGGAACAATATGCACGTTTCGATATATTACTGTCTATGTAGTGTAAAAACTATGGGAGGAGTTAGAGTGGTAAATTTGGCTTTAATAAGAATAATATATATGTGAGATAACATTAAGTGGTCTTGCTATGCAAGAACACTTATCTAGATACAAAGCAAAAAACCTTTCATAGTAACAAATACATTAAGATATTGTAGGATACAGTGTTGGAGATGATAAAAAGATATAGTATTTTTAAAAGAACTGAAATATTATATAACACATTGCTTTCTAATATTATTCTTCTCTTTTGAAAACTTGAAAAAGAGTTAAACTGACCACATTTTCCTCAGAAACTCGAGAGTGCTTGAGTAATGCTCTTATAGGAAAAGGCATGAAGTTCAATGACATCCTCACGTTCCGATAATTTATTGGAGATTTTTCTACTCTATCTATAGATAATTCCTAGTATGTAGTTTATTCCTGGTTGGTAAAAGGATACCTGACTTGCTGTCACTTTATTCTTCTTTTCAGTGAACAGCATGCCAACCTACTGGATAACTGCATACAATAAGTACAACAATTTGACCCATGTAGGGGTCTTTTTCAAGCCATAGGTGAATCAATTCAATAGTGCAATAAATATGTGAAGTATGTACAATAGCCCTGAATGTTCACAGTAGTTAGGTAACAGCTTTAAAGAGACCACATGTTTAATGACTATAATAATATAATACATATAATAATGTGTAAGCTAAAATATGAAAAGTGCAACAATATATATACAGTAAAATATAGAATAGAATATAAAATGTATTCAAGATATTAATTCATAAAGCTATATCCCCACCATATATTACCATATTTTATATCTATATAATGCATTTTATAATAAATTTTTTCGCACGTTTACATTTTTGCTTACACTTGATGATATTGTAGCCAATAACTATGTGGTCACTTTAAGATTGTCCTATTTGCAAGTATGTCTTGCTAGCCAAATACTTAACATATGTTTAGATGAATACCCAATTTAGTGTCGCATTATTTTGACCTTTCTGTTCTGAGCCGGTGGCATAGCAGTAAAGATGACATCTAACTGTGCCAAGAGAAGCTGCTGTAGCAATCCAACTGTTTTTTTTTTTTTAGTAAACACCTGTAGAGTCACCCACTAAAAACTTTTTATTTTTTCAGTCTACTGGCTTGAACATTCCCTATCATTTACAGTTTATTCCTTACCTCTGGAGCCATGTACCCTTGTGTGCCAGCACCGAATGAGTCTGTGTAGTCGAATACATTTTCTATTGACAGACCAAAATCAGCTATTTTGAGGTGACCCGATCTGTCTAATAAAACGTTCTCTGGCTTAATGTCTCTGTAAAGAAGGCAGTCCTTACAAATGAGTGATGAAGCTTCAAGATTTTGATATAATTACACAACATTAATTCGAAATGTGAAAATGTTACATTCCATCTAACAGAGAAAATTTAATAGATATTGAATAAATACTATAGATTACCTGTGGATTATTCCATGCCTGTGTAGGTATTGCAACCCACACACAAGTTCGGCAGCAATAAACCTGATGGAAAGAAAAGTGAATCATTTATTAGCCACATTTCATTTTAAAAACTCAAAGCATGTTACGCTGTAATACATTTTCTGGATTTAGCACATTTGCCCTGATATCTCATTTTCCCTCTTACAGTAATTTTTCACACATCTCTTGTTTCTCTTATTGGGTTCCTTAGAAACAATATTATCACAATCACTCACTCTCCCCCTGCTCACTTCCTTGCTGCAAAATTTACACTTTGTAAGTCACCCTCCTGGAAAGCTGTCAAAGTAATGCCAAACTTTGCTTTGGTGAGATATATTAGCCCCAGCCTTTTGCCTTATGACTAATAAAAAAGTGGTTGATTTGTATTGGTGACAGTGGAAGCTATCACAAATCTAGCCTTTACACAAGAACTTGGTTGACTAATGTAATGAGAAGGGAGGAGATGGTATTAATAGTATTATCACTGGGTGAGCTACTTCTTGTATTGGTAAGCAATCCAGCTAAAGATACAGAGAGACTTAGATAAAGTGTTGTGTGCCTAGTAGGTACAGAAAAGCCTCTCCTCTCCAGATTCCTCTTGTAATTCCTCTGTATGTTTATTTCCTTTCGGGACTGACCTAAGCAAATGTCTGGAATGGTGGGGGAAAGAGCGATATCATCATATACCTCACCACCACAACCAAGACCAGACATTGGGACACTACATGGGTACTCTACACCAAAAATCTCTGCTAAACGTTTTTTTGGGGACAGTTGACGACAGTTGTAAAATATGCACAAAGCCATATGTGTCCAGGATTTATATAGCCCCTGGCGCAAAATCCAAATATCTCTAGATGTGCAGTGTTTCTAGCTAAAACACTGCACATCCAGATTCCTTCCTCCATTACAACTTTAAAAAGCAGAAGTGGTCATGGATGTTGGAGTAACCTTTTACCTGTAGAATTGGGTACCAAGGAACCTGCCTGAATTGTATTCAGAAACATACTTTTTTCTTATTCCTTCCTATCTTTCACAAACTGTTCTTATACCTATCTATACAAATCACAATGTCTCCTCAACACTATTTCATTCCCAGGACACTTTCCTATTGACCTCTTTTACTTTTAAATATCCCCTTTCAAGCATTACCTCACTGCGTCTCTGTCCAGTTTCCCATGCCTATTCATGAATTGTTCCAGATCTCCTCCATTCACGTATTCCATGACAAAGAAGACATGGTTCTGTTTGCAAAGAGAGATAAAACTAGTCAAAAGAAGAGTCTACATAAAATCATGCGTTTTTTATCTTTCTTGTAATTAAAGAGTGGATGGATAGACATTTGATGTTATTTTCTTACCTCTGTCTGAAAACTGGCATATAGGTTGGTCAGGAAGTGGCATCCAGTTGCAACTTGCAGCACTCGGCGTTCTAGTAGAGTCTTGTCCATATCATCATCTAGCAGCATCTGCTTTTTAAGAATCTTTACTGCCACACTTTGCTTAGTGACGTTATCTGATGCCAACATCACCTGGAGAAGACACAGAGGAGCTTAGGGCTGAAGATTACTGGATAAGTTATTCCAATTATACTTACCGAAAAATAGCATTTGAAAGGATATTTATGATGAGAGGTAAATAATTTATTTACAAAATACAATACTTTATACAGTTGTAATCAAAATTATTCAACCCCCACTGAAAATCAGATTTATTGTCAAAATGTACAGACTTTCAGCTGTTTGAAATGAACAAATCAAAGAAAAGCTCAACACAACAAATGCTTCAAGTTGTTTCCCCAAATTCTGAACCAGGGCCCACTCTTCCGCTACTGCCTGAAAGCATTCTGAAATATTCCTTTAAGAGTGGGAGTAAAGCTAAAAGAAAATGTTTACACTAAACAGGGACAAAGTAACTACATTTAAGTTTGAATATGTTACAGGTTGGAGTTTGGGGATCTGTAGAGAGAAATAAATTGTATTTTCAGTTTAAATATTACATACCTTTCCGTAACTGCCTTCACCAAGGAGGTGATGGAAGGTAAACCTGTCTAATGAAATGGCAGGTAGTTGTTCATTATTTCCATCTACTGGAGAGGGCGAAAAAAAGGACATTCTTAACAAACACATATAAAGATTCTTTGATATATCCTGAAATAATTTATTTGTGCTCAGTATATATTATCATTTTAGCACATAATGTTGTACTAATTGTATTCAACATGCTGTGTTATACATATAGTCACTGGCTACGCAAAGTTTATTCATTGGTTCCTCTACTCCTACCTCACCCTGGGGGATATTTAAGTGTTTTGCTCCAAAAAGTGGCCTAAAGTGTTAAAAGTTGGGCAGTCACCATGGAAACCAGAGCAACAACCAGGCATATGCCACTGGTGGCTTTTCCCATTTTAAACTTTTGCACCACTTTTAGAACACAGTTCTTTGATAAACCTCTCCCCAAAGACCATGAAATGTGCACGGTTCACACTATTGAATGGTTAGCCAAATCCACTGCCGGAACTGTGTGTAGTGTGCACGATGTACAACTAGCGCTTTATAAATAAACTAGAAAAGCTACAATTTCGGGTGAAATTGTGTGAAGTGTTCTTGCCTCCACCAGTAGTCTACAACTGGAGTGGGAGGAGTAACTGGGTGGAGTGGCTTGAGTAAATGTTGTGTGGTTAGAGTGGCTGGAGTAACTGTGGAAAGGTTGGACTGGGCAGAGTAACTGTGTGGAGTGTTTGGAGTGAGTAAAGATAGTAAACATTACACTAACCAATTAATTGATCAAATTGAAAAAGTGTACATGGCAAGCTTGATAGAGTGAGAAATGCATTTCAACTATTATTTATTTATATAGCACATTTAATTGCAACGTTGTTGCCCAAAGTGCTTCACAGTTACATTAAAACATACATTTATAAAAACATTAGCAGGTGTACAAAAGGCCCTGTCTATGACATCACTTGCTGCTGCAGCCTGGCACAGGTCAGAGTATTTTGGCGGTTGCCATCTTCAAACGGTCGTATTTTAAAAACTATACATCCTACAGCGAAGAGCTTTATATTGTGAGAATCACAAGACCCAGACCTACATTTAGATGCATTGTATGTCTCTGAAGTATTAAAAATGAAGGCACAGTCGCAGTTTAGAAATTGCCCTTCAAGTTTGAGCTGGCTAGAGTGGAGTTTCCATGAATGTCAATGGACGGCATGAGTTGCAAACAAATGGTCATATTGTGGAAACTATCAGGACTATGGCTTAGCCGTGGACATGTTTAGTGGCAGCAGGGATAGCTGAACGTTTTGATATAAGATTTGTGTAGGTGGGCTTGAAAATGAGGGAGTGGTGGCAGTTTAGAAATCATGTCCTGATTTTTCAGCTTTTGCCAGCTCCCACTCTAGTTTTTAACATTTTGCCATTCATTCCTATGGGACCAATTTCACCACAACAACGACGATAGTCCGTGAACCATTCGGCGAAACGTTCCACAAAGTAATAACAATCCAATCAGGAACAATCCGCACGTTTCGGTATATTACGGTCTATGTATTGTAAAAACTGTGGGAGGAGTTAGGGTGGTAAATTTGGCTGTAATAAGAATAAGAATTGAAAAGCTACAATTTCTGGGGAAATTGTGTGAAGTGTTCTTGCCTCCACCAGTAGTCTACAACTGGAGTGGGCGGAGTAACTGGGTGGAGTGGCTTGAGTAACTGTTGAGTGGTTGGAGTGGCTTGAGTAACTGTGGAAAGGTTGGACTGGGCAGAGTAACTGTATGGAGTGTTTGGAGTGAGTAAAGATAGTAAACATACTAACCCAGGGGTAGGCAACCTTTTAGCAGCACTGTGCCGATATAGGATTGTGATGTCCCGTAGTGTGCCGGTCCTATTTTTTTTTTAAATTGAGGTGTGTATGCTGCCGTATTCTGCTTTTGTTACTTATACGCACAAATACAACAATACAAAGCAATTACAGTATATGAGCTATTATATTGTATATGTTCATTAGTAGTTTATGGTATCGTGTATGATACATATGAATGTGGGCTGTGTATGGGGGCTGCTTGTGGAATTGTGTGTGTGTGTGGATGGATATTATTTATTTATAAAATATTTTACCAGGAAAGATACATTGAGATTTCTCTCGTTTTCAAGTATGTCCTGGATATGTCACTTTGTGTGTATGTGTGGGGGCTGTATGGGGTATTGCATGTGAAAGGCTGCATGTGGGTTTGTGTGCATGTATGTGGTTTGTTACTGGTGTTGCGTTTGTGCGGATTGTGTGTATGTTTGTTTGTGGGCTGTTTGTATTATTTGTATGAGGGGAGGGTTATTGTGCATTTCTGTGTAAATCTAGCAGTGTGGGTTGCTTCCCTGGGTTCCAGTGGGGAGCAGGCTGGCCAGGTACAGGTCAAGGACAGGAGCAGTAACAGCAGCTGCGGGCTGCTCTATTACAGTGTGGATTCCCATTCACTATATGTGTTGCAATGTATAACGTTGTTGCCCAAAGTGCTTCACAGTTACATTAAAACATACATTTATAAAAACATTAGCAGGTGTACAAAAGGCCCTGTCTATGACATCACTTGCTGCTGCAGCCTAGCACAGGTCAGAGTATTTGGCGGTTGCCATCTTCAAACGGTCGTATTTTACAAACTATAAATCCTACAGCGAAGAGCTTTATATTGTGAGAATCACCAGACCCAGACCTACATTTAGATGCATTGTATGTCTCTGAAGTATTAAAAATGAAGGCACAGTCGCAGTTTAGAAATTGCCCTTCAAGTTTGAGCTGGCTAGAGTGGAGTTTCAATGAATGTCAATGGACGGCGTGAGTTGCAAACAAATGGTCATATTGTGAAAACTATCAGGACTATGGCTTAGCCGTGGACATGTTTAGTGGCAGCAGGGATAGCTGACCGTTTTGATATAAGATTTGTGTAGGTGGGCTTGAAAATGAGGGAGTGGTGGCAGTTTAGAAATCATGTCCTGATTTTTTTGCTTTTTGCCAGCTCCAACTCTAGTTCTCAACATTTTGCCATTTATTCCTATAGGACCAATTTCGCCGCAAGAACGACGATATTCCGGGAACCATGCGTCAAAACGTTCCACAAAGAAATAGCAATCCAATCGGGAACAATCCACACGTTTTGGTATATTACTGTCTATGTAGTGTAAAAACTGTGGGAGGAGTTAGGGTGGTAAATTTGGCTATAATAAGAATAATAATAATATATATGTGAGATAACATTAAGTGGTCTTGCTATGCAAGAACACTTAATAATAAACTATTCCATGTGAGTGTCCCAGTGCTTAGATACCAATTCAATACCAAAAATGACTAAAGATTGTAAATCAGTAATATTATGTACTCATCTTAACTATCTGGAGATCAGGGCAATCATCCAGTGATTGTGGCATTGTGAATATGCCAAGCCTATGATAGAGAGAGCCCTCCACGATAGAGGCAGAGTGTGAAATGGGGTGGCTCTGTTTATTGCAGCTATCAGCTGATACTGAGCAAAGGCAGCATGTATGTAATAGTAAACTATTACTATCTGCTAGATTGCTGTATTTTACACTGGGATGTATAGCTTATAGATAGTGTCAGTGGATGATATGTTTATTTAATGCACTTGCTGTACATTATAACTACACTATTTATTGCTCTTTCTTCTAATGCACCCAGTGATACTGTCAAATGTGCTGATATAAGATAAAAGTAATTAGTAACAGACACTGAATCTACAGGACAGTAAAACCCTAATCCTAAGAGCTTCCATTCTGCTGAAATGTGTCACCGAAGACAGTATATGGCATTATATGGTTATAGCTTTATATAACTCTAGGTGGTTTACATTGGGAGGAACCAATACTTTGTTACATAGCTTTATATGATAGTAATCACTATATAAAATGTAATATGATTCATTTTTCTTTCTTAAAATCAAATCTCCACTTTCCCTTTATATCACTAAAAAGAGACACCTACATCCATATGGTCTCTTCTTCCAATCTATAGATTCTCACCTTTGGGGTTCTTACTTTCCATTTGCTTCCTACGCTTAGCATTTCTGCATGGTTGTTTTCCTCTAGTTTGCTGTTTCTTTGGATTATCAGTCTTTCCCTTTCTCTTTTTGTTCTTGCCCTTAGTCATTATTGGTTCTTAAACGATACACCAAAACCAAGACTAATAGGCAAAATAGCTCAGCAAGAAAATGTCCTCCTTAACACTCAGAGGCACTAGAGAGAAATGTCAGATTACTGCAGCTTTGCATGATGTCAGCCAGACATGACTTGTGATGTCAATGAACAATCAAAGTGCTATACTGTAGGTGGACAAGACATTTATCTGTGTGTGTTTATATATATATATATATAAATGATTTATAGAGGCAGCTCCAAATCTGGAATTTATTTTAATCTAGAGGGGGCCGTAAAGGCTGATAGTGACAGAGAAATGATGGTATATACTAGGAACAGCATTCCGCCTGCTAGGGACACTACGTCGCCCAACTTGTAAATTTTATTAGAACGCCAGCCACCGCCCATAGTTAGGGGCTAAGTGGGGACATTAGGTCCCCTCTGTTAAATAGTAATAGCCCCCGCCTGATGCCAAGGGGTTCGGTACCCACTGACCTCAGAAATGGAAATTAGTATGTATTCCCATTTATTTAATTTAATAGACCCGGCACTTTGGCCATGGGTGTGGGCAAAGGGTTGGACACTGCTCTGTCCATTTTCCATTATTTAATCTAAAGTTCCCCACCTAATGCTGGGGGGATGAAGCGATCCCTACATCCCCGTCCCCATGGAATTTGGGATTTCTAGGGACTGTGCAGCAATGGCTGCCTAGTTACTAGTTTATTACAGCGAGCAGCCACTGGCTGCTCAATATTTAGTAGATATATCTCCACTCGTGGCCTAGAATGTCGGGGCATAATGGAGGTTTATAACACCCCTTATGGTTATATAGGAATTATATGGGCCATTTAAATTATTTAATATTTTTGCTAACCAGACACAACATTAATTAACCCTCACATCAGTTAATTATTTAAACTATTTGTTTGCAGGTGACAAACAGTTTGGATTTTTAAAATCCCGGACCAGATTTGAAGCATTTTAACAATATGGGTCTGAATTTCAGTTGACCAACAGTATGTCTAGATGAAATCCAGACCAAATTCAGGCTCATTCGAAGCCTACAGTGCAAAATCCATAAATTATTAAAAAGCATGAACAATGTCCATATTTTGCATTGTGAATGGCGCAGTGCAGCACGGGGTGGATTTGTCCTCTTTAGTACAGGGCTATTTGGATCAGTGAATCATCCTGATAGTATTTAAATGTAATGACAAATAACTACTTTTTAAATTTGTTTTGTTTTTCCTGTTGGATGTATTGAGAGTTTGCAATTGTTTTCTTGATCTTGTCTCTTTACACATGGCTGAGGAAATTTTGAATTTTTGCTGCTGGTAAAACGTAGATAACTAGCACTTAACATCTCCTACGAAAGTCTTGTCAGCTGGGAAGTATGATATGAGTTGCTAATAGTAGGACTAAGCAGTTTGGAAATTGCCGCAACTCGTTAATGTTATCAGCAGCCATTTAAATGAGTAGCGGCTTGTTGCATACCTCACAACTTCAGCTCTTGGCAACTCGTGACGCATTGGCGGAATTCTGAGACGCCCACAGTGTCAGAGTACACATAAAGCAGCTTAGGTGGCTGCCTAGGGCCCAGGTTCAAACAGAGGCGCATGTGCCTGGTGCACCAGCTCTGTGACAGAGGGCCTAGGGCAGCCAGGGACCCAGCTGGTTTGGGTATCAGAAGATTTCTCTAACTAGACCCACAATCGTTTTTAACAGCTAATTACCTGTATAATTAAACTGGATGAGGAGCGCCAGCGATTATTTTCCCCATTGCAGAACAACTGCAAATTAGTTCCTATGCAAGAGATCTGTGTGGCTCACAGAGAAGCTGCACCACATGGGAACTAATGGGAACTAATGAAGAGTCTGCTATGAGGTCAGGAAAAGGAGGAGAGGCAGGAGCACCATCCTGTCTGGTAATACTGTCTGCCAAAGGCTAAATGTGATACTAACAATTGGGAGAGGAAACCAAAAAAGAAAAGGGTATTGAGTAGAGTGAGAGATACTGGGGGCAGACAGTGAGGGCATGGGAACTGATAGAGAGAGAAATGGGGCTGGGAAAGAGAGGGACAAATTATGCTAAGGAAGATACACAGGTAATGGTTGATAAAAAGAGAGACACAAATGGTGGCTGATAGAAAGACAGCGGGGACTGATAAAAGAAGAGACTCAAGTGGGCTGATAGATGGAGAGGAGAAATGTGATTCTGTGGAAGAGACACAATCCTGGGATGATAAAGAAATAGAGAGACACATATGGTGTCTGAGAAAGGGAGAGGCACAACTGGACTGATAGAGTAGCAGGGCTGAGGCATGTGAGACACAACTGGGGACCGTTAAAGAGACATACAGAGACACATGTAGGGGCTGAAATAGAGAAAGGTTGGAACTGATAAAGAGACTGAAAGAGAAGAAAACTTACTCTCACACACTCAACTTTCTTCCCCAACACCCTCACACACCACAAAACACTCAGCCACATTAGACTCCTCAACATACAAAATGCAGCCAGTGCACACATCACTCAAACAGCACATACAGGCACACTCAACTTGCTCACAACACTGAACGCAACACACAACACTACATAGTCTCACACACTCAACCACCTACACACCCCAATTCAGCGACCAGAGCCTATGGCTCTATGAGGGGGCAACAATCTGGCATCCTGCCATGGGCCCTGGGCTACCTTAATTCATCTGTGAACTGACAACATGAGAAATTAACCGACTGCATAGAGAGACCCTAGGAAATGTCCTCAATAAACATCCCCTGTTCTCTTTATTTTCTCCATATCTGGATGACAAAGATATTTCTCTGTCAGAACTTTGTGTAAGCACCCTGTCTCATGAAAAGAGATTTTAAAAACTGTCACCCTGTATCACACAGTGGTATTATTATTATTTGCATTTATATAGTGGCAACATATTCCTCATCGCTTTGCAGTATTATGAAGTGGGAATTTAACAACAAATGTGATGGTCTACTACACATGTTGACGGGGAAAATAGGACTCTGTTCAAATGAGCTTACAATTAGAGGAAGTGGGGTTTAAAAACACAATAGGAAGGACAGTGTGGGGGATAGGAACCAAGTGACGGCGTAAAATGGCAGAATTTGAAGATGAAAATGAAGTGGAGAATGGACCAACTAATTAAGTTAAGAGAGTGTAAGATACAGGTTTGAGGAAAGACAGTTACCCTGGGTTGCCACAAGCTGTTTTGAAGAGGTGGGTTTTTTAGAACATCCTAAATAATTTTAGAGTAGGGCTATGTCTGATCGAGGTAAGTCTGATTCAAATGTCTATTTCGGAAGATTTATCAATGTGTTCAGTGCTAAAAAGTATCCTAAAGTACTAACAGGGAAGCAAATACCACATAAACCAAAAGAACCCACAGGCCATTCTATTGGAGACTCCTCCGTTTTTACATTTTTCCACTATGTTTTAGAACAGAACACTTTGATCAATTTCTCCAGTGTGTTAAAGAAATATAAATGTATATAGACTGTTAACTATTATCTTTTGGGGGATTGCCATTCTACTTACTTGTCCCTAGAGAAAAGACCTCCCTTACGTCTCTTCCAAAATGCTTTGTTTTTTGGGTCATGTAAGGGAGAGAGGTACTTAATATCCTCAGAAGCATTAAAAAAAAACAAAATAGAAAATTAGAGAAAGTTACATATAAAAAAAGGTTGGTTTATAGCAACAGTCTGTAATTTCTATTTAGATGGTGAGCATTTAGGAAATACATACAGAAATGAGAGGTGCTGCAGATTCATTCCCAGCTGTCCTCCAATTACTCTGATATCCCAGTCATTTATGTTATGTACACAAGCTCATGTGAACCTCTCCTGTCCTGAAGCTTCAATTACTGTGGCTTAAAGAAACGCTATAGGCACCCAGACCACTTCATCTCAACATTGATGATCTCAGTCAGAGGCAGAACTACACGGAGGAGTACGGAGGTAATTAAATCACCTTTTTTAAACCGTGGCAGCGCTGACCTGGTCACCTAAATGTTGACTAGGTCACTATGGTGTTAGGAATACATATTTGAGTTTCTAAACCTATTGTGTTTCTTTAAAGTTTTCTCGTTTTTCCTTCAGTCTGTCACATGCCATTGTCAAGTACATAAACTATGAAGGCAAAACTATAACAACACGAAATAATATATTTTATAATAATTAATAAAACAAATGTTTATGGGAAGTCCACATTTCTATATTTCAGTGTCACACATTTGTATTTCACATTTTTGGGTAAAATGTGAAAGATTTGCTCAAGTAAATATGTAGTACAAAATGTGCCAATTTCTTATATGGATGGTGGGTTTCTAAACTGGAAGCTGATAGCTGTTCTTTATCAGTGATCTTAGTTCAATAGGATTCTTTTCATTAAATATGGTATAGACAAGTGTAAAGCAGTTGATAATGGTTTTATCATTAGATGGGGTTTTCTACTTCAAAGAGACTTACTGTAGGGTAAAGTAGTAATCTTTCAATATTTTTCAGTTTGTTCTTGTAAAAATTAGCAAATTTGGTCTAAATGTATGAAAAATTTAGTGCAGGATTTCTCTTGCACCCCTACGGATAAAAAAATTTCATTTTCCACTTTCTCATTTTGCCTATCTTGTGAACAGACATAAAGCTCTGATATTATTCTTTATGGTCCATACCATATAGAAAAAAACATC